TCATCCCGTCGCGGTTCGCACGAAATTCGTTCATCAAGGCTTGCATCGTCGACCGTATCTCCTCCATACCGGCTGAAAGGTCCGTGTGACGATCATCCATAGCCTGGAATCGGTCCTCCAGACGTTGAATTGTCTCGTCCATGGCGTTGTCCTTCTTAGGCGGCATCGTGGATCGATAGCTGGTCTCTGGATACCAACTGATGTAGAACGTGTGCTTGGAATGCTTGAGATACTCTCTCAAGACTTGTATAAGAGATACTCTCTCTTTGCAGAAGAAGAACAGTAAATTTTTTATTTCAACGATGATTGCTTACATCTCATTTTCTGTTCAATAAATAGGGAAAAGAGTCCTCTCTTGGTTAACAAGTGCAAGATATTTATTTATTTCCTAAACTAGGCATAATAATTAAGGACATCAAATAAATAACAAAAGGAAACTAAATAATAAAAGATGAGGTAAATAATAATACTAAATCTTGAGCCGGTCGAACTTGTCGAGATACGCTAAAGCGGCCTCGTCGTCATCACTTTATAACATTAGATCAGATGCAGATTTATGATAACATCAAGGGTTTAAGTATCGCACAATCTAGTGTTTTATATGCCGAAAGAATGTAAAAAAAAAAACTAGAAGTCATCTTTGCTTAAGGTGTTAGCAAATAGCATGGATCAACTATGACTCCGTACATCTAGGTAGGCTAATGCCGAAAAAATTCTAGCTTACAAATACTGCCAGTGAACAGGATATCCATTACACATATTTGTGCAGCTTACCTCAGCAACAAATGCACCAACATGTGAATTGTCTTTAAATGCAGTCCTTGGTATCCTGATGATTAAATGACGAGAGAACTTTTCTGTGCACAAAAATATTAAGAAAAATGTTAGAAAGATAATCCGTCATACACTTCCAAGCAAAATTGAAAATACTAATCTCAAACCATCAGTTCACAACATTCCATACCCAACACCAACCTACCCCCATCCCACATTACATACCGTGAAATATCATATTGCAATAATGCCAGATGTTCCACAAAATGAAACAATAATAAGTATCAGGAAAAATGAACACGAAAAAACATTACGGATTTGCTACCTTCAGTTGATGAATCAAGTTCAACTACAAAATCTGCAGTTCCTTGAATAGAATACTTCTCAAGTAACAGATCAAAGATAACATTTATCAGGAGATCCACCATTTCATCTCCATCTCTACCGATGTTCTCTCTCTTGTTAAACTCCAAATCAAAATAGAGGTGGCATGGAAATCCCTAAAAAGTAGAACAACATTTAGTTACCACAGACATAAAACTTACAAATTCATTATATAGGACTGAATTTTTGCACCACAGACAGGCTGCCGCTTTTTGCAATTTCAACTTATCAACAACGGATCAAATGCAAAGAAGATTACCTCTTGAATTACTTCGTAATGATGGCGAAACTTTGATTTCATGTCTTTATACCTATCAAGTAGCAAGCATATCCACCAAAAAATACAATTCAGATGCTAGATATATAAGCCACACACTTGTATACACAAACATAGAAAGTTACATTAAAAAGAAAAAGAAAAAAAAAAATGATGAACCCACCTTCGCCAAAACTCCTTATACGTGGAAACGAGAAACCTCCTTTGACCATTCATATGATCCTGGTAACTAAAAATACGTGAATTCGTATGATGTTTTGCGAATTTCATCGCTTCATCTTGTCTCGGAAATGTAGTCCATATCCCCTCTCTAACACAAACACCATAAACACAAGTTTTCAATCCACCAGTTTATTTCTCCAACTCCCTGTAACATCTAAAATCATTTTTACCTCGACTTATTGTGTTCGGCGAGATCGACACGTATCTCATGAAGCAATCTGAGCAAACTTGACGGCCTTTTTGGAGGAACTCCATTTGGAGAACCGTAGAACACTACTGGAGAGAACTTTCTGACATTTTTCGGATTTGAGTTCTTATTTTCAGAAACTGCGGACGCCTGTAGCGAATTCTCTTGCTTCATTTTCATTTTTCTTTTCCCTTTTCCTTTTTCTGGGACCGCAGATTCTGACAAAAACTCGTCAATTGGAACAAATTCATGCTCTTACGCTATTGAAGTCATCAATTTACGCATAAATGGAGGAGAATGAGCAGAAAATCATAAAAGGAAAGAGAAAGACAGAGAGATTTACGAGGAGGAGAGATTCCACATTTGAAGCATTGAAACAAACGATCTACGTCATCCATGGAGTTTTGTTCCTGTTCCGGCTAAAGATCCTTTCAGATTACCAGGCGGCGGCGGCGGCGACGAATGGCGCTGGTGGCGGCGGCCACGGCCTTAATTGTCCCTCTGAGAGAATTGTGCTTGGGCGGGAGAGTGAAATGTTTTTGAACACGCAACTGGTTTTCATCTATTTCCCTCTAGAGGAGTACAAAATCCGGAACAATTTACCGTTGCCAGATATCATAATGGTACATTGTGCAAAGCGTTGCGTACACATCATCTTTTTTTTTTTTTTTTAATCTTTCTTATTGCTGGCAAAATATTAAAGGTTAATGCTAAATTAGTACAACGCCGTGTTTGTTAAAATTTTTTCTTAAAATTTAAAAATAATGAAAAAAAAGTAGTTGAAAATTTAATAGGGGTGTATTTAATTGGGATTTATAAAAATTTTTAAAAACTTTTTAGGACTTTAGAAATCCTGGTGTATTTAATTTAAATTTCTCAAGACTTTTAAAAGTCTTGAGGTATTCAATTAGGATTTTAAAAAGTCTTACGAAATCCAGGTGTATTTAACTAATTTAAGGTTAGGATTTATAAGGACTTTTTAAGATTTGCTGGGATTTCTAAAGAAAAAAACATGTAGGAAATCCAACTACAAATCCCACCTTTAGACTTGGTATTTTATAAGATTCTTTTAAAATCTGAAAATCCTCAAAAATTTTAAATCTTAAAAAATCTTTAAATGTCACTCGAATTCCGAAACGAATATACCCCCCTAAATACTTTTTATATATATTTTAGTATGACACTTGTTATTTGTGCGACTTACACGTGTTATATTATAATAATTTTTTTAACTTATAACATATAACTACATTATGAATATATTAATTGAGAAATAATTTTATTTTTAAATTAATTTTAATAAATATTTTTTTATTATTGTAAAGATAAATATAATTTATTTATTTTATATATACAATATTGATGTCAAATTGAAACTCATCAAAATATGATTAATTTGATACATTATATATGTAAAATCGATAAGAAATACAAAAGTTATCAACTTTCAGAATACAATTACAATTCAATAGTTATGAAAATAATATTAAAACACAATTAATATATCTAAAATGATCATAAATAAATCAACATATTTATGATAATTCGAACATAATTAATTTTGAATTGGAATTAAATTAAAATTTATCACAGCTAAATAACAAAGCATGAAATTTTGACACTTAGGGGTGTATTCGTTTCGGAATTCGAGTGACGGTTAAAGACTTTTTAAGATTTAAGATTTTTGAGGATTTTCAGATTTTAAAAGAATCCTATAAAATACCAAGTCTAAAGGTGGGATTTGTAGTGGGATTTCCTACATGTTTTTTTCTTTAGAAATCCCAGCAAATCTTAAAAAGTCCTTATAAATCCTAACCTTAAATTAGTTAAATACACCTGGATTTCGTAAGACTTTTTAAAATCCTAATTGAATACCTCAAGACTTTTAAAAGTCTTGAAAAATCTAAATTAAATACACCAGGATTTCTAAAGTCCTAAAAAGTTTTTAAAAGTCTTTATAAATCCCAATTAAATACACCCCCCTAGGATTCCGAAGAATGCGAGCCTACCACTAAGGCTCAACACATTCGGGAATTATATATAGGGGGGATTGTTAAGGATGTGATTGGAGATTTGAGTGGTTTTTGGTTAACTATAGTTAACTTTGAAAAATATAATATGGTTAATTGGTAGTGAGAATTTAAGTTTAAATTAATACTTCAAATAAAATAATTAAAGTTGATTTGATGTAAAAGTGTGAGAAAATTTATTGGAAGTAATGGTTAGTAAAAATTAAGTAAATATATGAATAGTTAATAAAGTTGATATGATGTGGAGGAATGATTGGTTGATATTATTTAATTATATTTATAATATTGAAGATAGTGAAATTGAGTTAAGTTTGGTTAAAATTTGAGTTTTGATTGATTCTTTTTTTCTGGTTGAGTTTACAAACAATCACACTCAATGGTTTACAATTTGATCAAGAATGTTGGCAATTTTTAGTAATTATTCGTGTTAATTTTCAGAATTACCTTTTTTCTAGTAATGACAAAATTCATCAATAAAACACATATTTACAAGTGGCTAACTAACCGACTGAAGCAGTCAACAACTAAATTCAGATGGAGTCGTATAAGAAGAAGCTACTATAGCATAAAACTTACTACTCTAACGTACCAACAAGAGTAAAAAACTATAAAACTATAATACAAAACTCCCAGAAGTAGAGAATAACTCGAAAGGGCGTAGTTAGAAAAAAAAAATGATAATAACTGGGGCTACATATTATTGTAACTATTATTGGAGCCAAGTTGACATACCATGGGCCGAGGCGGTCCGAACCAACACAAAACTGGCTCGCTGACCACGATTCTTTAACCGGCCCATGGTTATGGCTGGTCTAGTTATGTTCAACACTTTATACATTTTGAACTGTTGGTTTCAGTTCCAAACTGAAGGTTCTATTTTTTTAATTATTTTTTATTTATTTTTTAATGAACTGGGGCCCAGACTCGGCGGTTCCATGAATCGGTCTGTGCATATGTTTGGCCTAGTCCAGGGCCCTCCAACCCTCAGCCCGGTATTGGGGGTTTCGACCCGGAACCAGTTTTGGCCATGACTGAATTCTCTGTTAACAAATTTCAGTTCGACTTGTGAAAACTCAATCTTAACTCACTTATATATTAAACAAGTCAAACTCAAACAGCTAATCGAACTCGTCGATCAACAAAGAGTCGAACATGTCTTGCAATCAACTCTGGTAGAGTTTTCTCTTTGTCCAACAAATGAAGGCAAATTAATTACTGGAGGAAAAATAAAAAAAAATAGACGAAAAAGGATAACAAACTGCGCAATGAGACGATCTCGATTAATTAGTGAATAGGAGAAGTATTTGCATGTTTAATTATTAAGATAATTACCCCCTCCACCTCCCTATATTCTTTTAAGCACATATATACGATAGCAAGTTTTCAATTGCTTGAATACGAAATTTGTATTTTAATTTTCCTTCTCTCTTCCAGAATAACAAATTCCCCTCTCCCTTTATTTTCCTCTCGTTCTAATGCTAATTAATTTCTTTAATCGATCGTCCTCGTCAGTCGTCATCCTTCAAACCCTAAATCCAACCGCTCACACCGTTGTGTCACCACCACCGCGATGTTATTTAGCCATATTTCAAGGCCGTCACCACCACCGCTGCGTCACCACCACCGCTCACACCGCTGCGTCCAAAAGACGACCAATTTTTTCTTCTCGTGTGAGACTACTCAACGAAGGGGTTGGGCCAAGCTATGGAGCCAGAGTACGCGGGATATGGGCCGAAGGTCGCAAAACTCGATCGATATCGGCTAGAAGCAGACGGCGGGGTACGAGGAGAACAAGGCGACAATTGTAGAGGAGATGAAGAAGATGCGTCGGTCGCCCACCGTCTGCGTTTGTTACACAAAATTTATTAGCTCTTGCTAGACCTTGTTCGTTTGTGGGAATGGTGAATCAAATTATTGTTATTATTCGTTAATTTTATAATTAATCAGTGTACAGGTGGTTAGCTTTGAAAAGATTAAGATTTTGGGTTTTCCAGTTTCCCCCTAATGATGAAGAAGGTTTCAGAATTCTGCGATGAAGATGGTTTCAGAATTTTGCGTTTTCTCTTTTGTTTTTCTGAGGTAGTTTGTAAGTAAGTAAAATATTAATATGATGTTTATCTTGATTTAATTTTTGTTAAATTATTTTTAAAAAAATTTGTTTGAATTTAATTTTGTCAGATTTAATTTGATGTTTATGTTGAGTTAATTTTTTAGTTATGGATTATATTTTTTTTGCTTATCTATGGTTTATATTCAGTTTATCTATCGTCATTCTCTGAGTTATTAATTGTATTTTTTTGTCTTATCTATTGTTTATATTTTTGTTTAGTTGTGGTTTTTTTTCAGCTTATTTATCGTTTATATTCAGTTTATCTATGGTTGATATTCTTTTTTTTTTTGTCTATTTAATTTTTTACCACTTAGTAAAAAGTTAGATAATAATTAACCAAAAATTTAAATTAATAAAATATATATATGAGGTAATAAACTTAAGATAATCTGAAGGTAATCTAAAAGAGATCACAAAATATAATTATCGAGTTTTTTTTTTATTTAAAAAAAAAGGCTTTTGGATACTTAAGTGGAATTAGTTTAGGTTAATCATAGTTTGAGAAATGTTTTTTGAAAATAACACCGATGCGTCCTTTAGCCTTAATTATTTAGCTCATTAGTTACTTGTCAAGTCAGCTAATTAAGAATTCAAAAAAAAAAGAGTGTGTTGGGCCACATTATAAGCCCACTGATAAAAATCTATCAAGCGCACAATTGTCATTTGATAATAAAGGACTGTCTTATTTCATTTCATTGTTCATGCACGACCATCACTTCTCCATCATTGTTGCCACGAAAGCTGTTGCTTACCAAATGGACAAATTCGACTTAAATCTTTATGCATCCAGCCCGAAATTAGATAGAGCTAAATAAAAAATTATATATGGTTACGCGTAAAAATAAAAAATAAAAAATAAAAAACAAAGTTAGTACTTTTTTTTTACATGTGACTAGATTCCACCATTGCACATAGGTGGCTTCGCCCTTGCTAACCCCGAGAATAAAACACTAACATAAACACAAACGACCAGAAATTAAACACACTAGTCACTAGAACAAAACCCTCTTCACAGCTGTAAACAAGCCACTCCAAAATAA